GAGTGGATCCATCGTATCCCGAGAGCGTGGATCGATAATCATTACATCAATCACAGGTTTATCTGATATGGACTGATTGCTTTATTTACAGACCGTCATCATAAAGATGACATATTGCTGAACAACCAAACAACAAATAAACACTTCTTCCTTACTGGGGGCGGATACTCACTCCAACGAATGGGCAATTTTCCCTCCACTTGTCATCTGATCAGAATCAAACAGTACCAAACTGTGACGTGTTTGTTTCCGACCCTCAGGGACAACTGAACGACTTATCGAAATCGAAGTAATTGCTTTCTGAGATGTGTTGCTCAACAATTACTGTGGGGAGCCCTCGGGGAATGGCAGCTCAGCCTCATTTCCGAATTCCCATATTTCTCGAATTCCTCGTCTGATATATTTAAAAATCTGGTTCCGGGGCGGTGCAGTAGCAATCAACACATATCGAAATCTTGTTAGCTGCCGAGATTTGCCCCAACAGACCAGTCAATTCCGAATTTAAATCCCCCGTCGTAATTTCAATGGAGAATGCGTTCCACAGGCTGGTGGTGATCTAGGTGTGTTAGTGAGTTAATATTTAAAGTGACATTAGCAGTATTTCACCCATACCGTGATTAGAAAAAAATATTTACATTACTAACGAAGATACGGGGGTTGTTTTCAGCGACATATGTGAAACTTAGACATCGTATCTGTGTACAAGGGGTAGTGAGTGAGTGAGTAGGGTTTTACGCCGCTTTTAGCAATATTCCAGCAATATCACGGCGGGGGACACCAGAAATGGGCTTCACACATTGTACCCATGTCGGGAATCGAACCCGGGTCTTCGGCGTGACGAGCGAATGCATACATGGGGTAACTAATTTCGATAATAAAACTTAGGGTAGCAGATGTGTAGATTATTTATCATATACCTGAATACTTATCTTTTTTAATTCCATATTCTAGGCTCCACTTACAACAACGTGCTATGGATATTCTAGTATCATGTCATATCATACAGGGAGCACGGGTGGCCCAGTCGTCTAAGGAGCCGCGATTCGCTGTGCAGAGTTGCGTCCCTTGGGCATGCCAGAAACCTATGATTGTGGGTTCGAATCCCGGTTCGTCCCGATGATGTTTCTAGGTTTGTCAGCACCATACCCGTGCTCGTGGGTTTCACCGAAGTGGTAAACGTCTGAGACCTGCATCACTTCCGGCTTTCCTCACACATTAAGCTGACACGCCATGATATAACTGTAATACTGTTAAAAGCGGCGTTAAACCCAACTCACTCACTCATTCACTCATATCATACAGGAAATACAAGCGACAAAAACATTTTGATAATCGTTAGAAATCTCTACTGAAAGAAGAGTGGCCGCGGATCGAACCAGCGACCTACCGCTCTCCGAACAGACGCTATAACCACTAAACTACGGAGCTGGTCCAACATTCATGGCAATAAATGAAGCGATAAAACCCTTTCCATATGCAATAGAAAGATCTGCATAAAACAGAGTCTATTGTACGATTCCGACAATATCATGGGCATGTGTTTATAAATCACAATCAAATAGTGATGATACCAGGTGTTCGCGATAAGGGGAGCCTATCCTTCCCCACCGGCAGCACCCGTCACAAACACGTGCAAAGGCAAGTCAATTGTTCACCTGGAAAAACACGGGAACATATGGTCTAACATATGAGACATTAATTTTTTGTCACCGATGCGTCAAATTTGAAATTGTCCTCCGCGTATCTACTATAAAATAGTTTGAAATATTTACCAAGGCCTTGAATGTTGTAACCCTGATCAAGCATCAAGAATTGAGCATGATCTTCGTGTATGTGAGTGTGTATGTGTATGTATGTGTGTATGTGTATATGTGTGTGTTGTGTACATGTGTATGTTTGTGTGTGTATGTATGTGTGTATATATGTGTGTATATATGTGTATGAGTGTGTGTGTGTTTACTTCTGTGTGTGTATGTGTGTGTATGTGTCTTTGTTTGTTTGTTTGTTTGTGTGTGTGTGTGTTATTTGTTTGAATTTGTGATCTGGAAAATGCTGGATCAATAAATATAATTTTGTCCTCAAGTTTTACAAAAGAAAATAGTTCGCTGGTAATGCTAAATGTTCTAAACATGTTTTCTTAGCTCCTCCTTTCAGAATATTGATGCATTGATGCGGAAACATTTCGGCGATTCTTGGAAGATACGTCACCAATAGCCGTAAGACGTAAGAGCCGACTAAAGAGGAACGGGTGGCCACAATGTATGACCAAATGACTGATGGAACACCATCGTATCCCAGTGGCGTGATATGAGAGTTGGAATCAGATTGGTCAGTAGGATGGAAATAGAAAGGACATAGCCACTGGTGGGGCTACGATCGAGCCACGAAATTCCAGCCTAGTTCAGCAAGGGTGGAGACCGGACTTCTCCAGATAGTTAATGCCCTTGCCTCGGAAATGGGTCCAAACCACGGTCTTATAACTGGAATATTGCTGAGAGCGGCGTTACACAACATACACTCAGTCTCTGTTAGGTTGTTAATGCCCTTGCCTCGGGAAGATGGGTCCAGACCACGGTCTTATAACTGGAATATTGCTGAGAGCGGCGTTACACAACATACACTCAGTCTCTGTTAGGTTGTTTTTGCGGTCCTTAGATGGAAAGGCACACCACTGAAGGCGTCAGGATTATACACAATTTTATCAATATCCAAAACATTTCTAGACGGGGGCTCCATGACATTATGAAGCATATAGCGAACACAAAAACAACATGTTCATCCTTAAACTATGTTTAATAGTATATCAATTCACAGACGTGAAAAATGTCAGAAGCGATATTCTCCGAACAGTATATTTGTTACATTACAACTGTAGAATATGCACTTTTCCTGTTATAACACGCATATTACTTACACTGACGTAATTTACGAGCCACGTATACAGCAGAATATGCCACGAAGACGTAAGGTCAAGAATAGGAAATACATTTTTATTGCATTGCGGTCCCCTGCTGGCGTTTTGTTTCCAGTGTGTCTTTATATGGAAATAAGTTGTTGCATGCAAATCGCATTTACAATGGTCATGATAGGGTAAAGTCGCCATGACATTGGTTTGCATTGAAATTAAGACTTCTTTATTCCAAAAAAGAGAATTCATTCGGAAATACGATCACCATATCAAATTACTGTACTGCTAGTGGTCTATTTTTAACATGTGTAAATCGATAGGGATACGCTTTAGAAACACGCAAGATGCCTTTCGTTGGCAAATTTAATAAAAGACAATAACACAAACATTTTCAGCGTTATTTTCGAGCATTAACAAAGACGTAAATATCATGAAAGTTTGTAATGTAGGACCTAATGATATGATGTTGAGGACTCCTGTTGTTTTAGAGGCTGCTTCCTACTTTACAACAAGCTTTTACAAATGGATGTTTAAACAAACCACTACAAAGTCGGGGTAAGAAGTAGGGAAACGTCTTGCAGCTCATTTAGAGAGTTTGCGTGATTTGTCAGCAATGCTCCATCTACATGGCAACGGTGGATAAGCAAGAATAATGAGTTACACACATTGCATTATGTGGGGAATCAAGCCCGTATGTCCACGGAATGTGTTTATACTACAAAGCTATCCTCGATAAAGCTAACGATTATTTTCGCAAAAGCATCCGATGATGTAATACATCTTTGGTGGTCTTCACGATCAATGACGTCATGATCAGGCAGTAGTCAATGTTAACCAGGCACTAACGCCCACCATACCCCTAACGCACTACACTAGCACTAACTTCAACCTTGCCCCTAACCCTCACCCTTAACCCTAGCTCTTACTTCAACCTCGCCCCTAACCCTGACCCTTAACCCTAGCTCTAGTTTCAACTTTGCCCTTACCCTTACCCTTAACCCTATCTCTTACTTCAACCTCGCCCCTAACCCTTACCCTTAACCCTAGCTTCAACCTCGTCCCTAACCCTTACCCTTACTCCAAACCCTTGTCTCTTGATTCTACACCAAACCCTCATCCTAACCCTAGCATTACCCAAACCCTAACTGACCCTAGCTCTCACCCAAACCTTGCTCCTAACCCTAAACCTAAAACCAAATCCGTGTCCCCAACCCTAATCCTTATCTTACACCTACCCCTAATATTACCTCTTACCCTAACTAACACCTCACCCCAGCCTTACCGAACACTTACCCTGCACCCGAACACTTACCCTGCACCCTTACCATGCTTCTAACCCAAGTCAAGCCCTAACCCGAGCCTTGCTCCAATAATTTATTTTTCTGAATGATTTTATCCTAATGATGGGCAAGTCTAGAATTTTGTTTGTTTGTTGTTTAACGCCGCACTCAGCAATATTCCAGCTATATGACGGCGGTATATAAAAAATCGAGTATGGACCAGACAATCCAGTGATTGACGTCATGCACATCGATCCACGCAATTGGGATCGATGACATGCATCAACCAAGTCAGCGAGCCTGACCACCCGATCCCGTTATTCGCCTCTTACGACAATCATAGTCGCCTTTTACGGCAAGCATGGGTTGCTGAAGACCTATGGCATGTCTAGAAAAGCGGCCTTTTTTATACAGACCTCTTATTCTTATTATTTATATAATCTACAAATTATGGGTTAAGCTAATAATAATTGTCTTAGCGAACTGACCAAGTCAAGCCTAAACCTATTTTAACCAACTGGGCGGCGGTGTGGCCTTGTGGTTGAAGCGTTTGCTCGTCACGCCGAAGGCCCGCGTTCAGTTCATTACATTTCATTCGAGTCATTACATTCCCCTGTAGCATTTCCCCAAATCCTAATACACAAAACAGGTCCTAGAGAATGAGTCTAGAATGATTAAGCAAGTCTAGATTGCCTCAGCTCTTTGCCATTGTAATTAAGCATAGTTGTGGGCTCCATTTAGATTTTATTTTTTATTTTTGAGATTTAGAACTATATTTCTGGAAATAGGTGTTAGTCTAGCACAGTACTTACACGAATCTCCCGACCCCACAGAGTACTCCGGACAGGTGGCAATTATCACCTTGTTGTCTGGGTGATGGAAGTTGTCAATGTACCCTGAAACAAAACATCAAATTGGTTATTTTATAAAAGAACAATCAGTTTCGTTAATTGTCAGAGAGCCTTTAGGGCACTTTCCCTCGAATAGCTAATAAATTATTGATGTAAGGCTACATACACTAAATAACTGTACATTGTACCTCCAAGGATGCATGTGTGGTTATGTCAGGCAATCATTTACATTCATTCCTATTTGGTAACGATGGACATTAGTATTGGGGCATTTCCGTATTCCAGTGTAGGAGGTATTATGTGATTAGTGGCGCTTGTTTCCGAGTTAGTCCGTTTTGCTGATGTGAGCTAGTCTGGATAAAGATGAAGAGGTGCTTGATGAGTTTTACAGGGCATAGCAACATGGGTTGGGTCTCGCCGTGTCTTGTTGTCGTGTTTCACAGGAAGATTGAGTTGTGGGGTCTGACGCTACTTTAACTGAGCAAATATCAAGCACTATCGCTACAGAAGAATGGATTGCGTACATTGGACCCATCAGACGATGAGTGAGTGAGTGAGTGAGTGGGAGGGTGGGTGGGTGGGCGGGCGGTCGAGCGAGAGTGAGTGAGTGATTCAGGGAGTCAGGGAGTGAGGCAGTGAGGGAGAGAGGGAGTCAGGGAGTGAGGCAGTGAGGGAGAGAGGGAGTCAGGGAGTGAGGGTGTGAGGCAGTGAGGGAGAGAGGGAGTCAGAGAGTGAGGCAGTGAGGGAGAGAGGGAGTCAGGGAGTGAGGCAGTGAGGGAGAGAGGGAGTCAGGGAGTGAGGGAGTGAGGCAGTGAGGGAGAGAGGGAGTCAGAGAGTGAGGCAGTGAGGGAGAGAGGGAGTCAGGGAGTGAGGCAGTGAGGGAGAGAGGGAGTCAGGGAGTGAGGGAGTGAGGCAGTGAGGGAGAGAGGGAGTCAGGGAGTGAGGCAGTGAGGGAGAAAGGGAGTCAGGGAGTGAGGCAGTGAGGGAGAGAGGGAGTCAGGGAGTGAGGCAGTGAGGGAGAGAGGGAGTCCGGGAGTGAGGCAGTGAGGGAGTCAGGGAGTCAGGGAGTGAGGCAGTGAGGGAGAGAGGGAGTCAGGGAGTGAGGCAGTGAGGGAGAGAGGGAGTCACGGAGTGAGGGAGTGAGGGAGAGAGGGAGTCAGGGAGTGAGGGAGTGAGGCAGTGAGGGAGAGAGGGAGTCAGAGAGTGAGGCAGTGAGGGAGAGAGGGAGTGAGGGAGAGAGGGAGTCAGGGAGTCAGGGAGTCAGGGAGTGAGGCAGTGAGGGAGAGAGGGAGTCAGGGAGTCAGGGAGTGAGGCAGTGAGGGAGAGAGGGAGTGAGGGAGTGAGGCAGTGAGGGAGAGAGGGAGTCAGGGAGTGAGGCAGTGAGGGAGAGAGGGAGTCAGGGAGTGAGGCAGAGAGGGAGAGAGGGAGTCAGGGAGAGAGGGAGTCAGGGAGTGAGGCAGTGAGGGAGAGAGGGAGTCAGGGAGTGAGGCAGTGAGGGAGAGAGGGAGTCAGGGAGGGAGGGAGTCAGGAAGTGAGGGAGTGAGGCAGAGAGGGAGAGAGGGAGTGAGGGAGTGAGGCAGTGAGGGAGAGAGGCAGTGAGGGAGAGAGGGAGTCAGGGAGAGAGGGAGTGAGGGAGTGAGGGAGTCAGGGAGAGAGGGAGAGAGGGAGTGAGGGAGTGAGGCAGAGAGGGAGAGAGGGAGTGAGGGAGTGAGGCAGTGAGGGAGAGAGGGAGTCAGGGAGTGAGGCAGTGAGGGAGAGAGGGAGTCAGGGAGAGAGGGAGTCAGGGAGTGAGGGAGTCAGGGAGTGAGGCAGAGAGGGAGAGAGGGAGTGAGGGAGTGAGGCAGTGAGGGAGAGAGGGAGTCAGGGAGTGAGGCAGTGAGGGAGAGAGGGAGTCAGGGAGTGAGGCAGTGAGGGAGAGAGGGAGTCAGGGAGAGAGGGAGTCAGGGAGTGAGGGAGTCAGGCAGAGAGGGAGAGGGAGTGAGGGAGTGAGGCAGTGAGGGAGAGAGGGAGTCAGGGAGTGAGGCAGTGAGGGAGAGAGGGAGTCAGGGAGAGAGGGAGTCAGGGAGTGAGGGAGTCAGGCAGAGAGGGAGAGGGAGTGAGGGAGTGAGGCAGTGAGGGAGAGAGGGAGTCAGGGAGTGAGGCAGTGAGGGAGAGAGGGAGTCAGGGAGTGAGGCAGTGAGGGAGAGAGGGAGTCAGGGAGTGAGGGAGTGAGGGAGTGAGGCAGAGAGGGAGAGAGGGAGTGAGGGAGTGAGGCAGTGAGGGAGAGAGGGAGTCAGGGAGTGAGGCAGTGAGGGAGAGAGGGAGTCAGGGAGTGAGGCAGAGAGGGAGAGAGGGAGTCATGGAGAGAGGGAGTCAGGGAGTGAGGGAGTGAGGGAGAGAGGGAGTCAGGGAGAGAGGGAGAGAGGGAGTGAGGGAGTGAGGGAGTGAGGCAGAGAGGGAGAGAGGGAGTAAGGGAGTGAGGCAGTGAGGGAGAGAGGGAGTCAGGGAGTGAGGCAGTGAGGGAGAGAGGGAGTCAGGGAGAGAGGGAGTCAGGGAGTGAGGGAGTCAGGCAGAGAGGGAGAGGGAGTGAGGGAGTGAGGCAGTGAGGGAGAGAGGGAGTCAGGGAGTGAGGCAGTGAGGGAGAGAGGGAGTCAGGGAGTGAGGGAGTGAGGGAGTGAGGCAGAGAGGGAGAGAGGGAGTGAGGGAGTGAGGCAGTGAGGGAGAGAGGGAGTCAGGGAGTGAGGCAGTGAGGGAGAGAGGGAGTCAGGGAGTGAGGCAGAGAGGGAGAGAGGGAGTCAGGGAGTGAGGCAGTGAGGGAGAGAGGGAGTCAGGGAGTGAGGCAGAGAGGGAGAGAGGGAGTCAGGGAGTGAGGCAGAGAGGGAGAGAGGGAGTCAGGCAGTGAGGCAGAGAGGGAGAGAGGGAGTCAGGGAGAGAGGGAGTCAGGGAGTGAGGCAGTGAGGGAGAGAGGGAGTCAGGGAGTGAGGCAGAGAGGGAGAGAGGGAGTCAGGGAGTGAGGCAGAGAGGGAGAGAGGGAGTCAGGGAGTGAGGCAGAGAGGGAGAGAGGGAGTCAGGGAGAGAGGGAGTCAGGGATTGAGGCAGTGAGGGAGAGAGGGAGTCAGGGAGTGAGGCAGTGAGGGAGAGAGGGAGTCAGGGAGTGAGGCAGTGAGGGAGAGAGGGAGTCAGGGAGTGAGGGAGAGAGGGAGAGAGGGAGTCAGGGAGAGAGGGAGTCAGGGAGAGAGGGAGTCAGGGAGTGAGGCAGTGAGGGAGAGATGGAGTCAGGGAGTGAGGCAGAGAGGGAGAGAGGGAGTCAGGGAGTGAGGCAGAGAGGGAGAGAGGGAGTCAGGGAGAGAGGGAGTCAGGGAGTGAGGCAGTGAGGGAGAGAGGGAGTCAGGGAGTGAGGCAGTGAGGGAGAGAGGGAGTCAGGGAGTGAGGCAGTGAGGGAGAGAGGGAGTCAGGGAGTGAGGCAGTGAGGGAGAGAGGGAGTCAGGGAGTGAGCATAGTTTAATACCTCAGTTTTCATTTTAAAAAGGGACACCAGGATAGGGGGAAAGAGTTTTACTTATTGTCGCAATCACAGGAAGATTGATTGATTGAGCGAGTGCGTGTGGTTTCACAGCACCTTTATCAATATGTCAACATTACACCAGCAATATTACGTCATGGAATTGACCCACCACAGAAAGATTAAGTGGAATGACGAACTATAATACGTATATTGGAAATGACACTTGATACAGACTAGATGTTAAACCCCACTTTGTGTGTGCAATATAGACAATTCCAGACTCGATTGAAAACAACTCCTTCACTGCAGCACGTTAATAATACATGTCGCAAGCAGTGTTCTTGGTCTTCTCCATCAAGCTCAGCTGCAGCTTCTTCTGTCATGTGATGTAGTACAAGCATGTAGCCAAGTATACATGTTGAAATTACTTAGCGTACTTGTACCTCATCATTTGATGATGATGATGATGATGATGATGATGATGATGATGATGAGTTCGCATTTGGTTACCTCATGTGGATGCAATATAATTGGTGTAAACATAACATGTAACATGTAATTACTTAGGGTACCTGTACCTCATTATTTGGTGGTGGTGGTGGTGATGATGATGATGATAATGATGATGATGATTTCGCAGTCGGTTACCTCATGTGGATGCAATGTATTTGGTGTAAACATAACATGTATACATGTTGTAATTACATAGCGTGCCTGTACCTCATGATTTGGTGGTGATGATGATGATGATGATGATGATGATGATGATGTAAACATAGCCATCCCATACATTTCACGCGAATCGTGAAGGAAACCCTACACTTGTAACCTTATATCGTGTGTGTTTACATTCAACTCGGCTGTATGTCTTATTTAATGCATGTTTATCATTAACAGAAACATAATTTCCACTCGCCCGCAAGGTAAAGAAAGACGTCGTGTTTTAAAACAGTGTCTTATGTACCCGTGAAACAAGGATGGCGTTGAAAGCATCTGTGACTAACTGCACGTAAGTGGTTGTATATAACCATCATCTGTTAGTTTACGTCTCGGATACACAGCCTGTACAGTTAGCTCCAGGACGTCAGCACACCAGCGACCAGAGAGTCAGCAACGCTATCACTTACTGCAAGCAATCAAGGAAAGGTTGCTGCAACCCCATATTTAGACCCAAAGAGTTAACTTAAATTTTAAATATATATCTACAAGATATAAAATCCAAACGGAACCAATTCTGTATGGGAGACAGACTACCCAGTAGTGTATACCCTCTTCAAAGCAACGCTTGGCGCTCTTTTTCTGAGACATATCGCTTTGTGGTCTCGCGAAAGACAATGAATGTAGAGCAAAATCAGATTTTTAGCTGTAAGGTAGAGATATATCGACAATCATTTCACGTTGTTTGTTTTTACGCTCTCATTTATAAATTTAAAACACCAGCCAGCTCCCAGCAAAATGAACGATTTTCCAGTTTCATAAAAAAACTCGCTCTTTTCTATCGGAAGAATATCTGAAGAAGGGGACATTTCTTCAGGCTGTAATTTTTGTAATAGGTAACCGA